GGCAGGACCCCGGGGCTTTGGGGGGGGCACCGGGCAGGACCCCGGGGGCTTGGGGGGGGCCCCCACCGGCGCCTCTTGGTGCCCCCAATCCCCCACCCCAGCAGGCAGGTGGGTGCTGGGGAGGGGTAGGGGGGGCCCGATCCATCCCCATCCCCTTTTTGGGGTGCCCCAAGAGGGGAAAATCTGGGTCCTCCGGGAAAAGCCACATTGCTGCCGGACGGCGCCGTCCAGCCCCAACAAACCAAAAACCACCCTGGGGTGGGGAAAGGAGCGCTTGGGGATCCTGCTGCGTCAGAGCCGATAACTCACCACCCTGCATGGCGTTGGGCGGAAAAAGGAAAAAAAAAATTTATTTTTTTTTTCTTTTCCCCGCAATAAAAACCCGCCTCCTCCCGGAGCTTTCAGGCCACCCCAGCTGGTTTTGGGGTGACGGGTCTCAACCCTTCTCTGTCCATGGCCTTTTTCCCCTTCTTCCCCCCCCAACTTCCAACCCTATTTGAGTTTGGGGTTTGTTTTTTGGTTTGGTTTTTTTTTGAAACAGCACGGTTGCTCCAAAGGGAAACATCCCTTGGCGTTCCCGGCGAAGGAGAGGCCTTTGGGGAAAGGAAACGGCCCCAAAAACAATGGCAGCGGCGTTTCCTCCCCGGCGGGACGATGGGTGGGGGTCCCCGGTCCTGGAGACGCTGGGTTTACTCCTTGAAGGGTTTTTTCCTTGATAAAAGTGAATTAAAGGGTGTTGGGATGAGGCGGAAGGGGTCGCTTCGTCCTTAAATCCCAGCGGGATGCTCCTTTGCCGCATCCCGATGGTGTAAATTTGCACGGGGTTGTGATGGAACCCCCCCAAAAAAACCTCACGCCCAAGTCCCAGGACGCGATGCTGTAGGGACCAAGAGCACAAAAATGCCGGGAAAAGCGGCTTTGGAGCCCCCAGATGGGTGGTTTTCCTTTAAATTTGCTGTTGAACATCCCGTCCCCACCCTATGGGATCCATACGGGATCGTGATGGGGAAAAGCAAAACAAGGGGGGAAGGCCGGCATCCCTGTCCCCATCCCGTTCCATCCCTGTCCCCATCCCGTTCCATCCCCGTCCCCAGTACCGTCCCCAATCCCTTCCCATCCCCATCCCATCCCCAATCCCTTCCCATCCCCATTCCACCTCCAATGCAATCCCTGTCCCCATCCCTGTCCCCATCTCCATCCCCAATCCCATCCCTAATCCCTTCCCATCCTCATTCCACCTCCAATCCCTTCTCATCCCATCCTTGTCCCCATCCCCAATCCCAATCCCATTCCATCCCTAATCCCTTCCCAATCCCATCCCATCCGTATCCCGCCGCCGCCTCCTCCCTACATCAGGGGTTAAAGCGCATTTCTTTCTATAGCAAAGTCACGTAGTAGTATTATTATTATTTTATTTAATTTTTTTTTTCCCAAATTTGGTCTCTCTGGAGGATACGGCACTTTCTGCCCCCTCTCCGGGGTCATGAGAAAAGCCGCTGTGGATTTTCCCAACGGACGCCGCTCCGCAGCCCGGCATCTCCTATCTGTCCGTTTATAAATAGTCCGAGTTAAGGGAAGGGAAAAAAAAAAAAATCCCTAAAAAATAAAATAATAAAAGGCCGGGTGGCTGTGTCACATCGCCGCGCTGCTCCGTGACCTTTTTCCAAGGTTTTTAGGGGTCCTTTTTTCCGGCCAGATTCCCGCTGGGTATTTGAAATCCTGAGCTTGGGCTCTTGGGATTTAATTTGGGTCTGGGTTTCACATGACTCCGGCGCCTTAATCCTATCGAGCGGGGTCATCAAACCCCTCCTTCTCCTTCTCCTTCTCCTTCTCCTTCTCCTTCTCCTTCTCCTTCTCCTTCTCCTTCTCCTTCTCCTTCTCCTTCTCCTTCTCCTTCTCCTTCTCCTTCTCCTTCTCCTTCTCCTTCTCCTTCTCCTTCTCCTTCTCCTTCTCCTTCTCCTTCTCCTTCTCCTTCTCCTTCTCCTTCTCCTTCTCCTTCTCCTTCTCCTTCTCCTTCTCCTTCTCCTTCTCCTTCTCCTTCTCCTTCTCCTTCTCCTTCTCCTTCTCCTTCTCCTTCTCCTTCTCCTTCTCCTTCTCCTTCTCCTTCTCCTTCTCCTTCTCCTTCTCCTTCTCCTTCTCCTTCTCCTTCTCCTTCTCCTTCTCCTTCTCCTTCTCCTTCTCCTTCTCCTTCTCCTTCTCCTTCTCCTTCTCCTTCTCCTTCTCCTTCTCCTTCTCCTTCTCCTTCTCCTTCTCCTTCTCCTTCTCCTTCTCCTTCTCCTTCTCCTTCTCCTTCTCCTTCTCCTTCTCCTTCTCCTTCTCCTTCTCCTTCTCCTTCTCCTTCTCCTTCTCCTTCTCCTTCTCCTTCTCCTTCTCCTTCTCCTTCTCCTTCTCCTTCTCCTTCTCCTTCTCCTTCTCCTTCTCCTTCTCCTTCTCCTTCTCCTTCTCCTTCTCCTTCTCCTTCTCCTTCTCCTTCTCCT